AAAAGGAACACTGGACAACATGACATTACCATGTTCAATTTGTTAAGTGCGTCAAGCAGCGGATAGGCTGTGAGGAAAAGTTTTGCACTCACACACACCCCCACAAGGTCAGAGTTAACTGAGACCCAACCCAATTACCACTCCAGTGAGCCTGCAAAACCTGACCCAGGGGAAACATCTCACTGCCAGGCTCCAGGCCACAGCTTGGGAACAAAGCCTAACTGGTCTTCTGCTTTGAGACGGTGCCAGACTCCTGGGGAGCAACAGTTCCCCACCCACCTCCATTGATGGGTGGGGTTAGGCCAGAAGCTGGCACAGACCACCCGCTAAATCTGTTCACAATGCTGTCACAGCACACCTTCCCAGAAATTTTGTGTTTTGCTGTCCTGTCACTTGCCAGGGCTTATCACACTCGGTTCTCTGCTGCACTGTCATGTCCATTAGGGCAGAGATCACCCTGCCTCTTTTCATCCCTCTCTCCCTCTCCCCAACAACTGCAAAGGGGACCCTAGGTCAGAAGGGCCCACAGGACGGGGCTGCCAGAAAGTACGCAGAATGAGAAATGTGCGTATGTCCTCAGGAAACTTCAATGTCATGCATCGGTGTGTATGCAGACACTTGTAATTTATCAGTAAACTTGAGGCTAGCCTACCCAGTAAGAAGGATGAGAGATCTAGGAGTTGGGTACTAGACAGACTGTCAGAGTAGAGACCAAATTCCTGAAAGAGACCAGGGTCTGCAAGAAGGCAATCTGAGGGACCACAGCTCTGCTAGATACCCAAGAGATCAACAGTCTGAGCTACTGGGGACCATCGTAGATCTGCACCAGCCATCAGAGATGCCTGTGCACGCAAGGAAGTCTGAGCAGCAACAGGAATGGGGATGCAAACCTTGCAGGCTTGCCTGTCCACTTACCACCAGCTGGGGAGAGCACTGGATCTGGGACCAGTTACTGGTCAACAGATCTGGAAAGATCCACTTTTTTTTACTTTACCTTCTTTTTGGTTTTTTTTTAAGCAACTCCTAATGATTTGTTATACTTAGTCACTCAAATCTTGACCAAAATAAGGTTTGCTCATCACTAAGACCAAAAGCTAATACTTAGGCTGCCCCCACCCCATCCTGCCTCACACATATGCTTCATTGTTTTGAACTGAGTAGTCATCTCTGCACCGGACAGCAATGTGTCACTTGAGGAAGTCTGACCTTGCACAGAGTATCCAGGCAAGAAAGTTCACATTTCTGGTATCACCCTGAGCTCCGACACCAAATTTCACTGAGGAATTGCAATCACCCCTCTGACAGAAAATGCAGAGTGACCTCTATGGTTCAAACACTGGCTGTGAAATTACCTACACCCATTGAAACAGCTATGTGGAAAAAAAAATCAATTGAAAAATCACACATCAAAACTTGCTGTAAAGTTTCCTCCCGTTGCCTTGACACCATCACTGATTACAGCAAAAACACGTTCCTTTAAAGGCTACCTACTGTCAGAAAAAGAATTCTGAGAAGCCAAAAGTACTTTTACAGCACATTTTACACTTTCAGAATTGTTTGGATGGAACTGTGGTTGCTGGTGAACCTTCACTACTTCATTTAATAGGTGGGCATTTTGCACCATCTTGTGGCCAACCAGAAGCATTTCGGTTCATACTTCAGTTTGCTCTCAACTTGTTTAATTTGATTGTTATTAAGAAACACTTTTTTTCCTAATTATCTATGCCGCAGTATAAATTTAAAAAAGGGTCGCATAACATCATGCCTCCAAACAATGAGAGCAGAATATATGCTAATCTAAAATTAAGGCACAGTACACTTTTAATAGAACAACATTTTCACAGTATGTTCTTTTCAGCAAAAAGGAGCTAACTATTACTGTTTGTTGGTGTAATGCCATAAATTTGTTTGCCCTATGCTAGCTTATTGTGTTGGTGTGCGTCAAGGTAGTGCAATGCTTACCTGGGCTCACTCATATGGATTCTGTACAGAACCTATTACTTTCAGGAATCTGCATAACTGCCAAAGAAATCTGGGTTAGAGGGTGACTTGGTACCACAACTCCAGCAGATTATGCAGCATGTGGTAAGACAGCAGCACAGGTTAGGAAAAGGGGTACTGGTCAGGGGAATGGATGGCTAAGGATTAAGAAAATAGCACTCCAATACTGGTGGCTGGGATCCCAAGCATCAGCAGTAACTGGGGTTGAAGACCAGCAGGAAAACTTTTGTGATAGAAAAAAATACCCTACTGGTGGACTAGAAGACAGTCTGAAAACATGAGATAGTCATGCTGATACTTTCCTTACAGGGCTTTTAATTGTCGTTAAGGAACATTCTCCTGGAGTGAGGCTTGAGATCAGTACCTCTGCTACTCTAACATGATGATGTACCTTCCTAGATTAAAATTTGCCTTTGTGGTTCCAAGTCTAAACAAATATTTCTACAAGTCCCAAATCCTTATAAGCTTCCTGCAAATTTTTCTTCCAAGTTTTCCATGACAAATGAGAACTAAAACAATTAACAGCAAGCAATTTAAAAGAAAAAAAAACAAATCCAAAAAGAGAAAAAATCCGTATGAAGTAGTGCTCCCCAGAAAAGGTATCCCAAATGACAGATTGTAATCAAACAGTTTAATGTGCTATGAAAGGTCCATCAGTCCAACTGCAGGTGAAGTTTGAGGACACCATGCGAATAGAAGACAGTGCACAGATGCCAAGTGCTAGCATATCTGTTCAGCGAGTTATGTAGCCTATTCTTTCAGTGATTCCAAATGGTGAAGACAACCAAATTGTCCTACAGCAGATGGCAATTGAGTGCTTGTGAACAGCACAGTACCCAGGAGAAAAACATCTTAAAACAAGGCAAGCTTTCGAACTACTAACCTTTCTAAAACAAAACAAGCAAAAACTGCAGTCATTACCACAAAGCAGTAAAAAGCCTGTAAATTCTTGAAATATTAAACTGCAAATTTTCACACGGTGAAAAAAATAAGCACATTAGATTTTTCAAAGCAAAAGATCATTTACTTACATTACACACATGAACATATTATCATTATAGTGATATTAGCATGCTTGTTCTTTTAATACATGTTTTATTACTACAGCAAATAATTTGCATTCAGTCCTTCTATTGCAGGGTATTTAAAATGCCAGTTCAGGAAATAGGAAAGAAATAGCTCAAGAACATGCTAATACCTTTTGAATGAGATGGAAGAACGCCTACTTGGTTTTGCAGGACATTAAGTGGCTAACTCCTTTCAATTAAATATCTGTCATTTAGTTGGAAGCTTGGTATACAGCAATTCTCTCAGTTTAATGGTATTCCATTGCAGGCAGTAACATAGAAACAAGAACAAAAATCTGAGAACTGCATGGTTAATAATCCACACAGAGCTCACAATTAATGAAGCGTATATATCGTAAGAGCAATTTCCAGTTATTGGCAAACACAGGCCCTGCTTCTTCAGTTCTTCTGCATGCTTATTGCAGGATTTCTAGTCTTTAGTTCAGAAGAAGCTGGTGACAAAATAACAGAGCAAGTGTTTTAAATGCTAATGGAAGAAGCTGAAGCTTTTACAGACCTGAAATTTAGGAAAAGCCTCAGGACTTCCAGTTCTGGTGACAGAATGAAGATATGTGCATCAGAAAAAGGAAGGTTCAATTTACAATTACAGATACAATACTATCCAAAAGCTTCAGATAAAAATCTGATTTTTGCAATCTTCCCTGTACCTGGAGAAACTTCTCTAAATCCCTGCTACTTCTAGAAGGTACAGACACAAAGCAGGTCTTTTGAGACAGGTAAGTATTTTAGGGGGAAAAAAAAAAAAAAAAAAGACACAGTACAAACTATAGCCTCTGAGAAAGCCTGTATATTTTGACACACTTTTCTTTAGACGTATTGATTTCAACTTTCTGGATTTCTGTTGATATATGGATATGGCTGAAGGTGTAAGTTTGTAGAATTTTTTTTTTTTTTAAAGAACAAGGATGAAAGAAACAAACCAATGTTTCCAATCAGTTAACGAATTTTTGACTAGAGTAAGACTTGCTATTTACATTTTCCCTTCCCACGTTTACATGTCCATGAAACCAACCAAGACAGGTTGGACTTAAGACAAAAAAGTTTTGATGTTGCATCATTAATAGAATGCAGAAAAAAGTAGTCATTTACAAGAAAACCACAAGTAATGAAGACAAACTATGAAGACCCAATGGTGAGAATACAAGGAAAGAAACTGTCTTTTTCATTCTGAAAAGTCTTTTCTCTTCCCGGGGCAAACAAATTCACCCATTTAAACTCAGATGATAAATAAAAACATATTAATGATTACAAACAACTGCAGTTTGGATCAGCAATGCAGTTTTCACTATTTCTTCACTGTTGCATCTTTTGCCTCCCTGCCTACTGACAGACTTGTTGCTGTTCTAGCTGAAACAGAGCTTTCTGAAGTTTTGCAAACTTGCACTTATATTTATTTACACACAAGTTGCAAAAATCTTACCTAAATGCCCAAAGATTAGATCTATTTAGTAAAAAGAGCTTGTGACATTTTACAGTTGTAAAAGCGTAACATTGTTCTACTTACTGAGCACTGGGCTTAATGATTAATACAAACCCTTAATTTTCCTCATTTCACCTATTTCTTCCTATCCCTTTATTTCTCCAGCATCCGAATAGCTTTCCCCTTCTTTCCCCTTTTTTGTTAAAGCTAGCACACAGCTGCATCTACGAGCCAAGGTTCCGAGATAACATCCTCCTGTGTAGCTTACTGTTTTTTAACCCTATGCATTAGGAGAAGAAAAGCCACAATACCTACACCAACGTATCTTGCCTGGGCAGTTTGGAGGGGTCTGAAATATTAAACTACCAGGATGGAGATAGAGATACAAATACCAGGGGCACTCAACCATTCTGTTCATCAAAGGAAGCAATCTGCTCTACAACTTTGATTAACATCTCTTAGTTTCTTTGACTTTTTTTTTTTTTTAAAAACACATTTTCTTCTCGATTTTGCTGTCAGTTACTGCTCACACCTTTCTTATGAGCAACATTAAGGTGAGCCAACTTTGTCAGTTTTCGGTAACTGCAGCAATGGTTAAAGAACTTGGTCAGTTTTAATTCTGATGTACTTTGACACAGCTATGAGAAAAGGTAGACAACACCAACTCACTTTGGTTTACTCACTGCTTGTGCTTGGAGTTTTATCTGTACAGTGTAAAAACACTAGATTTCCAAACTGCAATTTAGGTCCTACAGATGATGTTTCCCTGAAACTTTCCTACTTGCCATGGGCAAATGGGTTGTTAAGTGTCTTCAGATGCCCACTAGTTAAAAAATGCTAAAACCTGCTTGCTTTCCCTATTTTGTTGTTTTATTTATTAATTGACATTAACAATTGCCCCTTTTCAGATTTTTACCAGCTCAAACCATTACTCTATTTGCACATAAGCAAGACTTTACTCAACCTACTGTAGCTGAGGGCCATAAATACATGTCTCAACAATAGGTTTGAAACAGCTTGCAGCTGTGGAACTACCTTCCTGAAATCTAGTAGCACTAATCCTGCCATACCTCTTTAAGATGAAGAACATTTCATGTATTTTGCAATAGTAAAGAGCTTGTGAATTAGGCCTTAAAAAAAAAAAAACAAAAAATCATGTAATTTCTCCAGACATCAAAATCCTGGGGCATTTTTCATGGTTTCCTTAGCCAACAAGTCTGTCTTCCCATTCTGTTTATAAGTTTACTGGCAAAACATCAATTCATTTAACAGATACTCCTTTACATGGACAGACCTGATATTTAGTGTATTTTGTAGGTTTTGAATTTTTTATTTTGCTTTTTTAAATAGCCAGCAGAGGGCAACATCGAAAATAAGAAAATTAGTCCATGTAACCGAGTGTGTTGTCACTTTTCACAGCTCATGTAGGGAACAGACAGCAGAGGGTGAAACAGAGTCACAAACTGGCTCCAAATGGAACCCTAGAAGAAATAGTGTCAGGGTATTAAAACTGTATAACACGAGAAAAATTGAAACGTCACTTAACTTGGTATTACTCCATTTTCTAGTGTATTTGTATGATAAGATGCAATCAAAGAAAATTACTTCATTCAATACCTGTAGAAGTTGTTCTGAATCAAAAGACAGGATCAGAAACCAGGTCCCTGTTAAATCAAAAGTACTGACCACGATGTGAAATTTGCATTACTATCACTACCCTTCCCATCCATTTGTTCCTATTTAGTAAAGCTTAGATGACCTAACCAAACCAGCAACCAGGAGGTACTTTAAGTGTTTTGTCTTTTACTCACTGACTGACTGATTCACCTCCAGTCTTGTCTCCTCCATCTGCCTCCTCGTCCGTATCAGAATCAGCTCCAATCTTGCCTAGATATACACAGTTTCAAACATGAAAATTTAGGCAGGTAATGCAATTAATTCTATATAGTTAGGCTTACTCTTAAATGATTAATTCTATTGCAATAATCAGCAGAAGAGGTTTTTTCCCCAGTTAAAGCAAGTGTTCTAAAATTAGGCTTACTCAAAACAAAAAACCTTATTTCAGTTACACTGTATTAGGAAAAAAAACATAATAGCTATACAGTACTACAGGCACTAAAAATAAAGCACAGGAGACAGAATTAATAGAAGGTACTCTGCAACATTCAAGATTCAAAGAGTTCCACTTAATTGAGAAGACAGCAATGTGTTCACAAATAAATTCTACAGCCCTCAAATACCAAGTGGAAGTTCAGTAAGATACTGAAAAGCTGGAATGTCATATGCTTAATCAAAGTACATAAACTGTGTGTCTCAGCAGCGCAGAGGGGTTCACCAAGAATCCTTTACCTACACCAAATACTCCAGTGCAATTGCTGATACAACTGAACCGGTACTGCAGTACATCAGATTTCCCCTGCAGAGAACCAGGAGGCAGCTTAATGTCGGTTTACCTAAAATAACAATAATTCTGCACTCCTAGGTTTTTCTTTTTTTCCACCAAGTCAAAAGCTTTGTTCTTAGTTTGGGTACTAAGGAAAAGAAACTTACACTACTGTTTTCTGCATGTGTTCCTAGTAGTTTCCAAATGAATGGATGATTTCATCCAAGCTTAAAAGATCAAAACCAGCATACATGTATACTCTATATACGTAATACTAATAGATACGTACATATATATACATGCACTAATATATACTTATTTGTGTGTGTGTATATATATATATGTAAATAAGTAGCTAGAAACGCAGTGAAAATCCAGTTTAAAGGCAGACTATTCTCTGGTGTACAGCCATGCCCAGAAGTTTCATTCATACCTTCAAGTATCTTCAAAAGTTTTTTTTCAGATAACAGCTCCAACTGCTCCAAGCAAAGCCTTTTGATTTCGTCCATGGAACAATTCTAAGAAGACAAATAAGACAGACCACGAGCTACTAAAAATTTCTAAGGACAGAGTAATTATGAATGGTAAGTAGTACTCCAACTGTACTAAATGAAGAGCGAACTAGGATTGCAAGTGCCTTCCCTATTCTGACCTATGTTGATGCAACTATTGAAGAACACTGTGTAGGTGTTTCAGTTTTGACAAATACCAGAAATAGTGTGTTTGTGCGTGTTTTTTTCCAAAAAATTAAGCAATACACACTATCAGTTACTTGACCTACGACTTGCTATTTTCACTGCAGCTGCAACACTGAGGAGCAAAAATACTGGGCCATATGTGTGAAGCACAGAACAACAAACAACTTGTAGCCCTGATTACTCCCAACTCTGCATTACTCAGGAGCAGGTGGATTACAAATTAAGCCTGCAGAGACCAGAGCCAACTGTTGAATCCATGTTCACAAACTGAAGCAGATGCTGCTATTGACAACACACCAACAGTGGTATATCAAAATAAAGAAAACGTAAGAAATATGAAAATCGTGATCCATTTCTCGTGCCTGATACTACCACACACTGCCACAGATTTTATGGGTATTCCAGTTACCTTCACGTCTTTCACACTACTTGGCATCCTCTTGGTGAAATAAAGTGATAATCTCACACTTTCAAATGGACTATGGTACCATGTACAAGTACCAAAATTAGGAAGTGCCAAGCATATTGTAACATGCAGGACCCTACTGCAGGTTTGTTTCTACACCACCAGGCAACTTCCTTTCAAAGTCAGTAATGCCTTTGCCTCCAGCTGCACCAGACCTCTTCTCTCAGACATGAGGGATGGATGAGACTGAATGCTACATGCTTAAAATGAAGAAGTCCTGCCTCACATTAATAATATGACTCATTAAGATAAAAATTAAAGACAACAATTTTAAAACTATTAACAAACATCACACAAATGACATTTCACCTGCAGCCTCTTCTTCTGTACAGGCTGCTAGCCTAATTTGTTATTACCAAGTCCTGCAGTTCACATGACTCAGAAAGTGTATGTTCTAAGCCAGAAAAACTCTAGCAATACTACCACTGAAGTCCACAGAAGTTACAGTTTCAGAAGCTGTTTATCAAGAAGGGGTTTTATTGCTCATCTCAGACACTGATTTAAAACCATACAAAGAAATTCAGCTGACACAAAACAGAAGTCAAACTTTTATTAACAAATCATCATTTTTATTAGTGAACAGCACTACTGAATTTATTCCATGCAATTATGAAAATCTTTTTGCGTTTAACTAAGCATTACGGGTGGTATGAAAATAAGCAGCCTGCAGTTAAGCAATGGCTGAGCAGTGGAAAAAGCAGTAAGCTGGAACAACTATATCAAATCTTGGACAAGTCTCACTTTCAGAAACTTGATATAATCTTCATTTAAGAAAAATACAGGCAGCTTTTAAGCTGGAAGTCTACCAGACTTGAGAGATAAATGTATTTTGTTACACAAACATTCAAGCTTGTAAAGAAGTATATAAAGGTCAGTACCTTTAAAATATCAGGCAGCATCTTCTGTAGTTTTTTCTCCCCTATGACACAGAAACACTGTTGAAGCATTTCTTTTTTGTCTGCGATATAGAAACTGACTGGTTTGAGCGACACGCTGAGATCTAATCCTCCTTCTTCTATATCACTGGGCTGTTCAGCTTCTTCCACTTTCTCTTCAGACGGTACACTGGACTTTTCTTCCTAAAATCAAGGACAGCAAGTACAGTTTTCACATCTTCTAGTGAACTAGAGAAGAAGGGAACTTAGAGCTTCATTTGTGCTTACAACGGTTTCCCCTTCACGATTTCAAGGCAGATGTTAAGGTGGACTTCTGACCTCTCAAATAGTGTTTTAGTTCGCAAAGTAACTGCATTACAGAAGCTACAATTTTGATTACCGAAAGCATTCTTTTGCGAGGGGAAATTTTAAAAGCTTCAAGAGGCAAAAAGCACTTTCAGATCTTAACTGGAAAACGTTGTCTGTAAATACCTAGCCGCTGCTTATATGTGGAAGCGTACTTTATGGCAGAAGAAGCCAGTCTCTCTGATTTGCTGTGCAATTAAATCACTAATCTCATAATTTGCAGCTACCCTGGCTATGAAGGAAACTGGCATACAATTCCCTGTGCGGCACAGCCTTCCGAGAAGAACAGTGGACTTCATATCAGAAAATGCACCTCCCTTACACCAGCGGAAGGCCCCCGCAGTGACAGAAACACATTTTGACAGCCCCACGATTCACCCAGGGGCACGTGTCACGCCAGTTTTTGCACTGGCGCACCAGGGCCTCCCGGGACGGACTCACGATCCCGCACGCACGAACGCCACCACGGGGGCCACCTCCCGGCCTCTGCCCCTCAGCCCCCCGCGCCTGGGGGAACGCGGGACAGCCTTCCG